TCTAATTCACAGGCTTTGTGTAAATTTCCCTGGGGTAAGACTGTAAATGTCCACTGTTGTCCTTCCCAAGTGAAGGCAAATTGATCTTGACTCTCAGGGGCAATGCCAATTAAAAAGAAAGCATTTGCCAGATCAGCCACGAAATGATATGTGCCCAGCTCATGGCTTAGCCAATCCATCAATTTGGCCACCCAAGGCATTGTGGCATGCAGTGGAGGGACCACCTTGTTTAACTCCCAGTAGTCCACAGTCGTTCTCCAAGTAGCTTCGGGCTCACGCACTGGCCATAGGAGGAGAACTGAATGGACTATGGGCTGGCGTAAAATACCCACCTTTTCTAATTCTGCAACAATGCCTGTAATTTCGTCATGTCCTCCCGGCAGTTTATAGTGTTTGGTGTTGGTGACCCGCCAGGGAACGGGCAACTGTCCTGGAGGGTGTTTTGCGTGTCCCCACTCTACTGCCTTCACTGCCCGTACTTGCAGCGGAACTCACCGGCCTGCAGCCACAGGCCGTGAGCACGTCTATGCCCAGTAGATGTTCTGGTACTGGGGACACATGAACTTTGTGTTCTCTAGGGGCCAATCGCCCTTTTGCTCCAAGGAGCAATTGTATAGCTTTCACCCGGATACTCTTCCCCCCATTGCCATCTATGTAGGCCCCTGGGCCTCGTCATGTAACAGAGCGCATTCAGCCCCCGTGCCCACCAAGGCCAATACTTGCTGCACGATGGTCGGGGACCAGTAAATAGCAAGTTGTACATGCGGCCTCTGGTCCCCGTCTGCCCCCTGTAGGCAGGTTCCTCGGCCCGCATTCTATACAAAGGCAAACAAAGCATTTCCTCCTCCCGGGGAAGCACGTGGTCCTCAGGGTGCACTGCTCTGGTCCCCTTGGACTCCTTGGTGCTTTTCACAGCAGGGGTACGCCTTCTCATGGAAGTGGACCTCTGTTCCTCCCTCAACTCCTGCCGTAACTCCAGTAAGTGGGCATTAAGTTTCCCATCTATCTTAGCTTAGTCTACACCAGCTCCTACAAGGTGTGCCCACATTCTGGGTACTAATGACCTTGACGGGTTTCCCAGTCCTTTCAGCTCTCTTCCCGTTTGGTGGGTAACAGCTCGTACGCCCTTGTCCTGTCTGACAGCTTTCTACCTCGCCCAAACTTGTCATCATTGTGGTAGGGGTGATGGCAGGCTCTCCAGGACCCATAAATCTTCCTCCAGGGCTCAGATGCGGGCTTCCAAAGCCTCCTCCCTTTCCTGTAACTCTGAACCTTTGCCATCTCTCACAGTGAGGTTTTGGTTTCAGCCTGCGGGGCTGTGAGGAGCACCCGTCGCAAAGCCCTGGCTGCCATGTGTGTACTGGGCTTCTCTAGGGACTCCCCTACCTCCTATGGGGCCCTTTCCACCTGGGCAGGGGGACCGTCCACCTCTGGGCATCCCTTGGGTGGTGCCCAAGTAGAAAGGAGGTTCGCTACTGAGTCCCACACACTTGTCGGGGCTCACCCCTCAAGCCCACCCACCCTGGGGGTTTAGAGGGCTGCATACCGGTCCACGGCGAGTCCTGCCGACTACACCAAACGCACTGCAAATGCTCAAGGCCTGGCAGGTTCACGCGGGATGCCGGCAGACTGAAGAACACTCTCGGAGCCAGGGGTATCTCTGACATGCCCTTATTGCGAAGGAGTACACAGGCTTCGGTGGTGGTGGTGGGAAGTCCCACCCGCCTTACATATCAAGGCAAACAAAGCCGGCGTCAAGCCAACTACGATTGGCGCTCACCAGTGCACTTGATGGTGCAAGTCACGTTTATACAACGCTACGTGGGTCCTGCACACGCGGGATAGCACAGCTGGGTCACTGGGCACCGGATGTCTGACAAGGGAGCCGGAGTGACTCCATTTTCCCTACAGAGGCCCTCCTGTGTAGGCTGTGCACCCCTAATAATTTTGTCACCAGGTCTGTTTTTAGTGCAGATGGTTGCCACGTCTTTCTTCCATGTATGTTGGCTGCTCTCCATTTGAATGGGGCTGTGGCTGGTGGTGGTGTGACCAGAGCCTGCCCTGGCTGTGGAGGGGGGCCTCCTTTTTGTTCCGTGGTTGTCAAGCCCCGACAGGGGCTGGGTCTGTTCCCCTGTTCTTTGAATTAGAGACTGCCAGCCCCATTTCTGAGCTGTGGTGTTTGGTAGGCGGGGTTGGGCGCTGCAAGTACTCTGTCGAACCTGCCCTTATGCACGCTTTGGCCATGGACACGTCCTTGTGCTGCTCTGGTTTCCCCCACGTTCTTTGCCCTGAGAGCCACCAGTGCAGTTCCACTGACTTCTGGGTCGCACACCTGATCGTGGTGCACTGTTGGGGTCAGCGCTGTCCCCAGCACCAAAGGCCACTCCCGCGCTCGCCCCGCTGCGCGAACTCCACTCACTCGTTCCAGAGGCCCACAGGTCACGCCACCAGGTCTCGTTGCAGTGTCAGCGCGTTCCCAGCACCGGGTCCACGCCTGGTAGGCAGGCGGGCTCACAGAAAACAGGCCCCCCCAGCCCTGGCCCCCGCTGCGCGCAGAGCTCCACTCCTTGCTTGTTAGTCTTAGAGGCGCGGGTCCACAAAGGCACCTCCGGAGCAAAACGGTCCCCTCTGCCTGGGGCTGTAAGTAATCTGTCCTGCCTATGAAGTTGCAGAGCCCTTGGGTACAGATTCAGGTTCCAACCCCACCTCGACCCTGGAGCTGCACCGGCGAATACGGTGGCTGTGGCCGAGCCCATCTCTCTCCTCCTGAGAGTGCGCCAGTGACGGTGCAGCGGGTCTTCAGAGACAAAGGCCACCACCCAGCCACGTTGCGCCCCTCCCCTCAACACGCACCAGCAGTGCTGCCTTCTTTTTTATTTTAAAAATTTTTTTAAATGGGGAACCCAGGCTCTGTTCTATATACATTCCCAGCCACGGCACACAGCACACTCCAGTCCCCTGAGGCTGCCTCTGCACGGTGGGCCCCAGTCCTCCGCCCGCCTTGGGCAGCCAGTCCCCGCCCACCCCCACTGGCTCGTCTAGTCTAGGGCTCGGGATCTCAGGGACATTTTAGGCCCATTTCACTTAGTTCTGTCAGCCAAGGGCTGCTGTGCACTGATCCAAGCCTCGGAGGCTCCCCCTCCATCCCCGCTGACCTCTCTGTTGGAGGGGAATCCCAGCATAAGAACGCTGTTCCTCCGTTGCCGCTCCCCCGCAACAGATCCCTCACTAATTTCCTCTTTTCTCCTTTTTTTTCCTCCTACCAGATTTGTGATGAATTTTGTCTTTTGAAGAAGGCGATGTTCTGTCAAAGTTCAGCAGGTGTTCTGAGTGAATGGGTGGGTCCGTGGATGTCTCTCTTGGTGGGAGAGGCTGAGATAAGAGTGCTCTTCTACTCTGCCATCTTGGCTGCTCTCTCACAATTTCGAAGATTTTTAATTCATCTTCAAAAAAAAAGTTTTGACTTTACTTTATTAATTCTGTGTAATCCAATTTCTATTCCACTCACATTCTTTACAGGGGAAGCCCGCGTGTTAAGAAAATGAAAGTAACTTCATGTAATCTGACATAAAGGCAAGTCATTGCAGAGGGCGACCAGGGTAAAAATAAGTGAACTTCATTGAAGCACAAAGTTTTGTGCCTACATTGGAGAACGCAGGCAGCCTGGTCCCTCAGGAGAGAGCTGCCCACTTGGAGTTCTCCCAATTAAGAAAACTGAGGCAATTTAAAATGCAATTTCCCTTTTTTATAGTTGTTTGAGCTGTTGAGGTATAAATCAGCTTTAGCTGGACTACACTGAATTTTTGCCTGGGGTGGGTAAGAGTAAATGTAATTACAAAAATACCAGAATGATACATTTATTTCCTTTCAAGTTAATTTTAGAAATTAAAGACATGTTCTTCTTTTCAAAAATCAATAATATATATTGCTACAAAAATTGATGAAACACAAATATTGTGTTTATATTATTTAAAATTTATGATTGAACGTATGTTATCAAAAAAGCCATTGATTTCCAGAACCAACTGTTGCCAAACTCCTGCTCAGTCTCTTCTCTCCTTCTTGTGTAATTACTGCTTCACTGGACTATGAGTGATTTCTTTTTTATTAATATTTTTTTAATTCAACGAGGCATTGCACTTTTTAAAGAAGTTATTGTGAATGCTGTTTAGATTTTCTAAATATCAGACAGTGATTTATCTTCTTTTTCTGGGAATTACTCCCTGTGAAAATTCCCCAAGAGCAACAGCTAAGACTATCTGAAGGGCCTGAGTAATTTGATTTTCATAGGCCCGTGGACCATGCACACTTGCAAGGGTTGAAAGAGCATCTCCGTCTACTCCAGCTCAAGACACTTTACAGATGAGGCCTCGTGACTCTCAGTGATCTCACAAACCATCAGCTATGAGTTGCAAAAGCTAAGACTGATGTTAAGAAAGTTCTGCATTCAGTTACCTGTCATTTCATCTTTACAATGTCTGTGTATTTAGAAAGGATTTTTGAAATATAACTAATAGCATGGCATTCACCACTGTTCCTGGTACTTCGCATTACTGGGGATCACCAGTGCTGACCTGTCTGGGGCATAGCAAAATCTGACTTCTCTGTACGGTTCCTGTATGAATACACTGGTGTGGTCATTACTTTTTGAATATGTAGCCAAAGGTTATTACTGTCACATTTGCTTTTGTTAACAAACCTAGGTCATCCAATATCCATGTTTACTGTTGCCTCACAATACTAAAATGAGAATCAAAAAGAAAGAAGGTGAATTTATAAGGTATCTGCTCCACGTTGTTAAGAAATGCCATGGCTTGTCATTTATTATTTGTATTTTAAACTGTAATGTGCTTTACTTGTCATGAGCATCTCAAAAATTTTAGTCACTCCTTGGTATTATGTCATTTGATCGTTTCTAAGATGGACTTTTGGGGGGTTTTGTATTCATGAGAGGCACCTTCAAATGGCAGGTTTTGTCTTTGTGTTTATGAACTGTAAAGGGCTTCCCTGGCATCCAGCAGCCAGAGGAGCAGAGATCTGCCTCTGCCTGCTGCGCTCATTTCCAAAGCACTCACGTACTTACTTCCTGCTCACCCCTGTGGCCCTGCGCTGAGACATCGGAGGGAGTCTGTGAGTAAAAGCATGCCTTTTGTCTACTCCGCATTCTTGGATGACTGTGCTGTCCAAGCAGAAAGAGAGAAGCACCTCTGCCTTACTCTGCTTCACTGATGCCTAACACAGATGATGTTAGAGATGATGTATCACTTTATGACCCTTGACACAATAGGTTTGATTCTGCTTAATCCTCAAAATTCTCCTCTGAAACATTCCCATTTTAGAGAGACGAAATGGAGGCTCAAAGGTTGCCAATGACTGGTCTGAGTTTATTTAGCAATAAATGGCAACACCAGGCCTTACCCTCAGGGTTTCTGCCTCCTTCTCTTACATCACAGCTGCCTCAACCTGTTCTTAATTTATTAATAAACTGGATTCATTTGAGTCATGATTCTTTACAATATTAAATGTGAATTCCTTGTTTTGCTCCATGTTCTTAAGTTATGGTTGTCAAAAAACAACAACTAAATCCTGTCTGGCTGGAGCTGCTGCCTTTAACCTTTCTGAAGGACTAACTTTCCAGGGCAGGACTGGGGCCCTCATAATAAGGTGCTAGCCAGCCAGGAAGGAAGCTAGAAAAACCCCCTCCCAGGAGGTGATGGATTCCTGTCAGGAACACTCCGGGGAGCACTGGGTTAGGAGGCTCCATGAAAAGGTGTCTGTTCTTTTTCCTCTACCTCCGAAGGGTAGTTCAAAAGCCTTTATTCTCCATGCCCTGAGAGTCAGCTGGTTAGGGCCTCCATTTGTGTCCAGGGGGCCAGAACTGAGCATAGGCAGAGGAACTGAAGATAGACGGGTAGCGAGATCAGAGGAAAAACAAGTGTTAAGATGATCATAATGTCTGTGCCTGGTGATTTAATGATCTTAAAAAATATAAGAAAAACAACAAAATCATCCTAAAGGGGGACAATAATTCAAAAATACAAAGTTTAGAAAGCCAAGTGCACCAGGCTTAGGGAAAAGAAGGTGGTCTAAGAGGGAAGAAGTCTGAGACACCTCATTTAGGTTCCACTTCTGACTCTGTGCCCTCAGGCAGATGCCCAGCACCTGTGCCTCCCCACCCCAGGCGCCCATTCCTGTGTCTAAGAGGGTGGAGGACTACTGGCCACTCAAGTGCTGGGGCCTTTCTGGTGAAGGTGTACTATTGACCAGAACCCTAACCAGACCTTTCTCACCATGGCAGTAAAATAACTTGGTGTTTAGCACTGGAACTCGTGGCACTAGAGGAGCATGGAAATAAAGTCCAAATTTAAAGAAAAGCTGTGGCGAACTGCATTCCCACTAGCAGTGTAGGAGGGTTCCCTTTTCTCCACACCCTCTCCAGCATTTATCATTGATGGACTTTTGAGCGATGGCCATTC